AGCGAGAGTGAGAGAGCGAGAGAGATCCCCGTAGAGAGGGGACACAAAAACACACAAACACACACACACACAAATGCTGTGCAAAGTCAGGTTTCTAGGCTATTTGTTTTCAACCGTTTTGTTGTGTGTCTTCCAAAACCAGGCTGAAAAAGACTTGAAATTAGCTGATGGGTTCCACCATGATTCCACCATAGGTGCAATGAAGAGATGCACACCGACACTGGGCCACCTCTTGGGACCCCAACAGACTCCGCACCTCTGAAGGCAACGAGTGACCCGACCTGCACCCAGCACCCCGGCATACCCCGGCCGTCAAAACACGTTCCTCCTGACCTAGAAGCTGAGTGTCCTCTGAAATAGGGAGCCAAAAGCAACCCGTCTCAGACTTCAGATCATGATCCGCTTCCGTTTCGATGATCTCCCTGTCGTCTAAGAAACAATGCTGCAAACGTCTGACACGACCTGGAGTGTCAGACGTAGCATGGAAATTGTATTAGATAAACTCTCCCATCACCTCTTCATATGGGGTGGTTTATTGATCCAGAGTTTTAAAAACAGGTCAATAAGTCCAGCTTTCACCATGGCACATTTGGGCCACCACAGCCACGGGTGGTCTCGTCGTAGGCATTGGGGTCTGCACAGCCCAGAATGGCGTACATGCCACTGACTGTACCAGGGCCCAGGCCGCTCTCCGTGTCAGTCTTGAAGCCGAAGACCTCCTGGAGAGTCGAAGACGAACTCCCATTTGGACCACCACATCCCACTCCTAGAAGAGGATGGGTGGGACATCACTTCTACCATAGGGGTCATGTATACATTAACCGGGTCTGTCACTGCTTGTCATGCCCTCGCATCATCGCTAAAGAATGCTAAAGAAGATGTGATGTGCGATGTAGGAATTCGCTGGACGGTCGTTGGTGATTGCGAGCCCGAAAGTGGTAGTGCTGGGCAAAACAACTTGTCCAACTCAGTGGCTAAAGCCTTTAAAAGCATGCAAAGTTCAAAAGCACTGGCTCTGAAGACCTCCTTTGCGCAATTTTGCCGAATTTGATTCGATTTTGAAAAGGGAGGTGCAGTCAGAGAGTCTTTTGACAGCAGACTACAAGTCTCCCGGCTCTCAGGGACTTTGCTCCAAAGTGTCAAGGTCAAAAGGGTTACGGTTTATGGCCCTATGGCAGTTTCACAGTAGTCTCCACCGGTGCTTTCCTATTTCCCCAAGAGGTCCCGAGGGAAGCAGGTGTGCCATGTTACTGAGCACCAACTTTGAGACCCGTGCTCTATGGTAAATTTCCCCGGAGTAGTAAGTGTCCATTTCTGAAAGCAACTATGCAAAGACTGAATACTGGGCCTTCCAAACAAGCAAGCCCAGGGGCCCAATCATGCAGAACTGTCGCCAGGAAAAACAGGCAGGCAACAGCGATCACTGAATCACTTTGCCAAACCCGGACAGTCCATGGGGACTGACCGATTTATATATAGATTTGTGTGGTTTCAGGGGTCAATGTACGCAAATGTTCCATACAGGTTGTGTGAACGGGCCTTGTCGTGAAAGAATTATGCAGCTGATTCGGCTAGAAAAAGTGATATGCCCCTGGTACAATGGACACTACAATGAAAAACAAATCTATCAGGCCAAAACCAAAGATGCTTCCAGAGTTTTTTGATTTGGGCAGTCTATAAGCAAACAAACATATGTTGTTTTGTTTCTTGGTTTGGGTCTAAGTTCGAATCACTATTGCCACAGCAGCGAAAGCTTTTGATCATTCCCAGAAATCTAGAGGAAAGCATTTGAAATGAAAACTGTTATTTAAAGCTTTAATATAGAAGTGATCATTCCCAGAGATGTAGAGGCACCCTATTGAACTGTAAACTTTATATAAAGCTGGGGAATATAGAAGTGATGATTCCCAAAGATCTAGGGCGACACGATTGAAATGAAGCTTTTACATAAAGCTCTTTAATATAGAAGTTATCCTTCCAAGAGGTCTATAGGAAAGCTTTTGAAATGAAAGGCTTTACTTCCCAGAGATCTATATAGAGGAAAGCTTTTGAAATGACAGCTAGCTATATATAAAGGATCCTATATTGGCAATTCAATTGTTCCAAAGATACCTACTTTCAGAGAACATTGACATTGGGCATAAAGGTATAGGTTGACCTAGAGAAACACATGTTGTTTCTTATCTGGAGAAATCTACTTTCCCAGAGATCCAGAGGAAAGCTTTGAAATACAAGTTCTTTGTTGTCTTCGGGGTTTGTATAGGGGGGCTGAGCATAAATATACAGTATAGTATTACAATTAATACAATAATATAATATAGATAGATGTAGTATTATACATAATATAGGTGTATATTATAGATATTTCACTTATATATATATATATTGTATGTATATATATACACATACACCGAAACCAAGAACGGGTCAAACCAAGCAAGTCTTGGAACCAAGCAAATCATCATACTGTAATAGATGGAACGAGCTACACCATTCTGATCAAATTGTCAAGAGGGGCTCGCAACGTACTTGAAACCTTATGGATAAAACAAGATCCTTTGAGAAGGTAAATATATATATATATAAGCTGGTGAAACCCTAACCCTACCTGTATGTATTTGTAGATACCTTCTCAGAAGGTACACACAATACCTGGCTCTGAAAAATCAGCCTAGAGGCCTAGAGCCGGAGCCCTTTTTCAGCAAAAGACACCGTTACAGGAACATGGTTCGTTCGGGTTGCAAAGAAGTGCTCAAGATCCACGCTGACAACAATTGCTGGAAGCTCCACCTCGTCACAACACAAGACACCATCTTTGGGAAGAAAGCGGTGTCATCTTTTGTTCTGGGAATTTAAGACAAGTATAGACCAAAAAGGTGCTGATTCGAAGGTCCAGGTCTTAGATGTGTGTGTATATGTATATATATATATGATCATCCCCCGAAATCGAGGGACCACCCTTTCATGACAATCGACACTATCTAACTCAATGAACGCGGACGACGGATGGCCCGAGAGCGTGGAACATCTATGCCTCTTGAGGGTGTGTGTGTGTGTGTGTGTGTTTGTTGTGTGTTTTCGTATGCTTCTGGTTTGGGGTTTTCCCGCTCCTCAATCAAGGTTGCCACAAGTGCATTCCCTGCGAGGTTTGCTGCATAGTTGGCAAACCAAATGCCAAGAGGATATGACTCGCCATTGGCATTCTCCTGACACGAACTCTGCACAGTTCCACAGAGAACTAGCCTCCAATGCTGCATGCACAGACATGGTCTCCAAGAGGATCTGTCGGGCTTCATTGGGGTTCCCGAACAAGCTGACCAAGTAGTTTTTCTCTGGGTGGTCGAGTTCTTGGAACACTGGCACCACCAATATGGGTGTGTCGTCGGGTCAGAGCCCCACATTACCTGGCTAGGTAGAAGCAGGGTCTGTTTCTTTCCCGAAAACTGGTCGGCACGGCTGGGAGGTCTTCCGCTTTCAAACACACCCAGACACGACCAGTCTGGGACTGGCATAGTAAAACCGCCCCGGGGTGGTGCCATGCCGGGGTCAACTGATCGGCATATATGACAGACATGGAGTGTATGGGTTTAAAGTTGCATCAAACATCACGTCTGCGGAACTTCCTATCGAAAGTAGAGCAAGGCAATGCAAGGCATGTTGTTCTCTTGCTGTTATTGTTGTGCTGTGTTTTGCATTGGAACTGATCCCATAGTACATCGCCTCAATTGAAAGTGGCTTAGAGGTTAATTGAGGAGTATTGCGACCCCCGCCCACACCCACACACACACACACACTGCGGGTCATGGTATCATTATATGCATAAATTTATGCATAATAAATCATAATAATATATACTGCATACAAACAACAGTTGTAGAGCCTATTGACTCGCCTGATGGTACATTCAAACACTGGAACCTATGCTGTCGTCACCTCCTTCGACCGTGTGTGACAAAAGGGCCATGATTGGACACCCCAGTGGTGGATGTGCTTCGAGGCATGCTGCCATGCTGCCAGGTTCTTCCAGTCTTCTGGCGGAATCGCATCATCCAAGCAGGTCGTTGCCGCGACTGCGACCACCAGTCCAAGGCCTCGGGTGCAGCGAACCGCCGGAGTCGGAGTCACGTGCCATGTGCCAACTCAGCCAACTCCTCTGCTGGCCGAGAGTCACAGCTTCGCACCGCGCACACGCATGGCACCAAAAGGACGAGGCGTTGGCGTTAAAAATCGTTGGCCAAAAACCTGGGGCCAAATGCTGCTGTTGCTCCGGTCGCCGAGTACCGCGCACCGCATCTCGAACACCGTTCACTCCGGTCGCCGCCGTGCACACGCGAGTCGTTGAGGCGAGCGCCCCCCTTGCCTTTTCGTCCCCTTTCGTGTCAAACCACCCAAAAACCCGGTGTTCGCGGTGCCGGAGTTTTGGGATAGAAAGACGCTTGGAGTGGATCCAAGTGGCGAAGATTCTCTCGAACCCACATGACATCGCCATGTTGCCGTAGTTGCTCGAACCTCTGGCTTTATATCATTTGTCCCGATCACATGTTGAGTGCACGGAGAAGTGGCTAGCACCTGCAGTTCAGCAAGCCCAGGCCCCGCGCAGCCCGGGCCCGCTCCACGAACTCGTCAAGCCCTTTGGCTTCGTCTTACCGCCGCCCCAAGGATCGACCTCACCCACTTGTTGCATTCATCGTCACGCGGATGGCTGGGTGAGACACATATGCACACGAGACAGGTCTCGCCCGGAGACAGAAGCCGTGATGTTCGCAAGACGCCACTGGTTCCAAAAGGGCTGATGACTGGAGATGGATGGAAAGGCTCTGTACTGGATGGGTACAAAAGCACCATCAACAGGGTTGGAACTCCTGTCACTGGAGAATTGTAGACAGTTGAGTAACTAGAGTATAATCAACCCCCCTATAGTCTCCTATATGTTTGAAAAGGTTTTCCATGGTTTTCCAATCCGGGGCGGGTTGTCAATCAACAGTCTAGTAGGTTCAATTGCTTCACAATGTCACAAGCTTGGCTTGCTGCCTCCATGGACTCCAGTCCGATCACTCTCGTCGGCGGGCGACCTGAACAAGCACACGACGGGGTGACCTCCACATGCTGAGAGCAAACACCCCAGCCATTTCGCTGGAAACAGGTAAAAAAACAACAAATCCATACGTAGTCCATCAGCCACCAGCCTACAATCCTGATGGAAGCTACGCTCCTACAACCCTGAAGCCGTCTGTAGAACACACCCCTGGAACATGGAATGTGGATGGCGCCTCGTAACGGAAGACCAGTGTATTTCGCAACACTTATTTTGTAAACGCTCTTGTCAAACAGTACATCATGATGCAACCAAATACCTGACAGTTGTCGCGCCATACTCACTTCCTGTTCTTTCTTTGTGGCATGGAGTAGCAACACATTCTGCCCATCCCATGTTTAATAGCATCAAATCATATCTTCAACTGCAAAAACATGAGTCCGTGACTGCTTTGCCCTGAGTCCCAATGCTTTCCAGAATATGAGCCAATTTCAAAAGCCTTCACGTGCATCCTATGGCGTGAAACAACAAACACTGCATTGTGTAAGAATGTTTGACTGATTGACCACAGGGTATCAACTAAATGTATCAGTGGAAAGAAAGGGTCTTTGGTCCAGTCAATGCAGAACCGAGTCTTAGAAAATGAAACCACCTGTGGTGCCCTGCTCTAGGAACCTGCTCTGGTTTCGATGGGCTGGACGTCGAAACGGGCGGACACCCCACCGAAGATGGTCCTTGCACCCACCCAGAATTGGAAGGAAGAAATGGATGTTGTTGGTGTGTGTTTGTGTGGGGGACCCCCTGGCCCCATGGATTTTGGGTCTATGTTCACTTTTTCCAGCAAATCGTTGCCTGGGAGGTCTCCCTATTTAAAAGACACCACCAAATGCTGCAACACCCAAGTTCTAGGTCCCAGCAGTTCAATTGGAGGATAGGGGTGCCGGTTCTGAACGGAGGAGAATGAGGAGCAATAGGGGTGCCCCTGTCACATTCACTCACTTATTAGGGACTAAAACCATTCGGACACGGAACTGGTCTAAGAAGTCTCACAACCTACTTTCAGTGACATGGAGCAGTTGTCGCCTCGGACACACCCCTCCGAAAGCGCGCCACGGCCACACACACGTTTTGTTTCAGAAGCAGGGAAGCCCTCTGGCCTTTCCATCGCTGCTGCTTCCGGCGATGGACTCAGGAGATCAGAATCAGCCAAGCAATGGCCACCTGAGAAAGTCACTGACAGATGTTGTTCGATGCTGGCGTACATCGTTCGATGCTGCTTCGATGGCCCCCCACGTCCTTGGGAAAACCCTCCAGGCCGACTTTGTCGGCCCAATCTTTTGGGGGGTCCCACAAGGTGTCATTCCCAGACAATCCAGTATGGTATATTTAATGTTGCCGACATTCACCCTGAAACCACCCCTAATGATGTAAATATTCCCCCTTGGGTCCTTGGGTGTCTGGAATTGAAGAATTGTAGAAGGCTGAGTCTACAAGGACTGGGCAGCACAAAACGCGAAAGAGAAGAGGCGTCCAAAACGCGAGACGTCTCAGCCTAACGACAGTGAAAGTCCTTCGGATATATCGTGATAACGTGTGAATATCTCTTCGGATTCAATTCTTGTCGAAAATCGGGGAAATTGCATTTCCCACTCCAAAATGAGGGCTTCCTTTCAACACTTCTCAGTGTTGCCTGGTTCCCTTGTGGGAGCTGCGAGTCATGTCCACCTCTGACCCCTTTTGTTCAGCTTGGGGTCAAGAAACGATTCGTTGAACGGACATGTCTTCCACTTGTCAAGGCTGGTCATCTCCCCTTCTGGGAGGCCTGGCATGTTTCCAACCATTTGGGGACATGGTGAGGACTCCCCCCATGAGTCTATATGGAGCAGTATATGGCGCCTCCCACGGCTTCGGCTTGATGCCGAGCCGAGGTCGTGGGCCGAAGGAGCTGAGGAGAGCACCATGGCACCCATGGCACCGACAGGTTAGGCATTGGAATTCTTCGCAGCTCACAAGGAAGAAGGCAGCTCACAGTCCAAGGAAGAAGTGCGGCCCTTGTCAAAGATGATATACCCCTATATCGCCTATATATATATACTATTATAACTGCCCGCGGGTGACATAGGATTTGTTGAGGTACCTGAAATATCTAAGTCCTGGGTCATCGGGCAAGAGCTAAAGAGGCTAAACATGAATAACACCTAAGACATAAGCGTTTTGGATAGGAACACCACAGAAACGCAGCATAGCCGAGCCTATGCGAACTAGTGCCTATTCAATCAGGATCAATCAGGGTTTTGACCTATGATTGTGTTCTTCTGTTCTCGGAATTCTGACACGGAGGATCTTTAACCTTAACCACCCAATCTTTTTCTATGACGAAACGCGTGACATAGACCAGTCTCAGGGACACAAAGCCTATCTCATCAGACCAGGGACTGGGGGCATGTCTGGAGTACAAATAACATCATGACATAGGTTTGTGAAAAAAACAACTCCCACTAGCCCCCAGTATGTATATATATATATATATTTATATTATATATATATATGTATATTGACTCAATCAAAACAATATGCTACAGTATAGTAAATATAGTATTAATGTATATATATATATATGTGTTGACAAGTCTGCCATACATGGAGTGTCAGGGATATGTCAATGTCAGCCAATCCGCACATCCACAAAGGAATAGACTCTTAGACTCTTAGATGCTCCAATTAGTCACCTGGGCTCCGTTCCCCTCCCGGCTGAGCGGCGTAGAAAAGCCACACCGGGTAGACGCCAAGGGCCTCACGACCCCCGTGGCACGGTGTCCCACAGTGTCCAGAACAGCGTGTCCATCGAACACCTGAAGAGCCATGAACGAACGGGTACAAACCAAGCCTAGTGCTTAACAACCTGGACCCTCCGTTCGATCAGGGTGGTCCTGTGTTTCCCTTCGTTCGGTGCCCAGAAACGGACCTGTGACTGGTTCAAAAAACATCGGTCTTGGAAAGTCCTCTCTCTTATCTTTGGAGTTGTTTGGTTGGAGAAAACCCCCCAAGAGCAGAACCAAAGCAGCAAGTGAATGCCGCTAAAAACCACTCCCGGATCTCACAATGGAGAACTCAACTCCTCAACGATCGAGGAGTGTCGCAAAAAAAGAAGGAAGTGTTTCTTTTGCGACCTTCCAACAAGTGGTTTTAGGATGTTTTAGGAACCCTCAGAGGTGGTTTCTGGGCAGTTGTCACCAGGAAACCACCGAAGCTTCGCGGAGTGATGCCACAGTCGGTGGCTGACTGCGGTGTCGATGTCGCCAGGAAACCACGTGCCGATGCCCACGGAGGTGTGGATTCTGGATCACAGGGATGTCTTGATTTGATAGAAAAAGTCCAGCCACAGTTGAAAGGAAGAACTTACTCCCTTGTTTTGAGCTTTGAGCACCCTCATGCCACACTGCCTCTTCCGTGCCAGTCTCACTCCAAACCCATGTTAAAGAATCTTGTGTGAAAGGGATTTATATGGATTTAATTTCATGTTATTTATCATCGTTTATACCTCCATCATCATCCATCTCTTGCTGCACTCACACACTCACCTCACACTACCCCCCCTTCCTTCCTCCCATGGCCCCGCCTTCCGATCCTCGGGTAAAAGCTCCGACATAAAATTCACCTCACCAACCACCCGGACAGCTCGGGCGGAGTCATCGGCGGCGGCGTCCCGTCACCGGTACCGGTCGGGGTGCTGCAGGTCGGGTGTCTGACGCCGAGGGGCGCCAAACACCGTGGGCAGCTCGAAGGTCTAAGCGTGGGCGGATGAAAAGAGACGTGTGCAGCTTGTGAAGAATGAGGATACCAAATGTGAAGATGCCATGTTGCACCAATAGTTCGAAGCTGCGATGCAGGCCAGTAGATCAACCCTTCCCCCTTGCAGGGCCCAACACCGCACATGTCCGCACCAAAGGAGAACACATGAGAACACCCACCACTGATGAGGGCCGGTGCCCCCCTTTGGAAGAAGGGGACGGGCTGTGTCGCCAAAAGAAGAGTCCAATCGGGACCTTCGATGGGTGGGGGTGCCTCTTTTGACCTCTGCAAGGCTTCCCCCGGTTTCCCCCTCAACACAACCAAAAAACGGGGACATGTATGGCCAGGACCTTGAAAGTGAGCGTTTTGGAGTCTCTGTCTGTGACCTTTTACGGATAGTCTAAGTGACCTCATCCCGGGATATCAAGGACGGTCACGACTTGAAGATCCTAGGAGTTGAACATAGTTAGACCATGATGCATAAGGAGCCTTAAGCGCCTTAAGCCTGATGTTCCAAAAGCGCCTTCCATCAATCCTTCCGGGATCCATCGTTTTCCAAGGCCCCAAGGATGAAGGATGTTCGCCAAAAAGGTGGTGGGTGGAGGCCTCCCCAGTCCCCACCTCCAGTCGTACCTCCTCAGGTTCGGTATGACCCGGACCTGGCACCCTGGCCCGTCCCACTGGAGGTCTCGACCTCCCGCGTGCCGCGTGCGCTCCAAGGTGCAGAGGCGCCGGTGGCCCAGGTGAAGCCGATGGTCACGAAGATCACCTGCCCGGTCTCCGCTCCGGACGATCACGACATGGCCACGGCCCGACGGTGAGGATCTGATTGGCCGATGAGTTGGGGTGGTCGAAGGGTGGTCCAGTTAGAGCCACCAAAGGTCGGTTCCGAGGATGGAAGTGTGGATCTATCAATTCGACCTTCGAACCTTCCACACATGTTCTGCCGGGTTTCGAAAAAACGAAACTACCGCGCGGACAGCTCTGCGGAAGGTTCGGACGCTCTCCGGATTGCCCACGAGTCTGCCGGACGCGTGGTGGCTGCCATGCGCGGCCTTGAGCCAAATGACGTTGAGCATCAATGAGCCTCAGGAGGTGCGAAGTTCAAAAGCTGAGGAAAACCTCAGGATGTTGGAGTCTTCCGAAGCCTAGGGCGTAGGCGGTTTACTAGCAAAGGGTTGGGGAACTCCGCATAGCTTCGAGTTCGGCTCCCTGTTCAATAGGATTCCCTCCTGAGCAACAGCTAGTTTAGTCGTATCCCAGAAGGTATTTAGACCCCACCCACCCTGAACACCAAACCTCAGTAGTTGGAGCATGAAAATCATACAAATCCCATCAAATCCCACACACCATGTCGGATCACGCCCGTACATATCGTTGACGCATGTCCCTCGTCTTCTTCCAGCGGCGCCATGGGGGTTCACCAAGAAGGACCTGTGCGCCACATGTGTGAGAAAAAAGGGTCATGAGCAACGAGCAGCGAGCAAATATCCTCCTGGGAGGGGGGTGGAGCGACCTTCCGAGGGGCTGATCCTCCAGGTGTGGATTCTAAGATCCTCGAGCACTTGTCCTAGCATCAATTACTTCTCCGAAAACTAACGCGGAACCTGAGAATTGATCCCTAGAAGACCACTTTCCTCTACAACCCAGTGGGTTTCGGATGCCATGTTCATCTGCAGGGGAGTTGATTTGGTCATGGAGTTCTGCATGTCCAGGGCAGAATGCCATCGACCCCGTGACGATCCCCCCATAACCCCTGGAAGAGGAAGGCAAGGAGCAAAAGGCTGCGATCACCAAGGGGAAAATGCAATATCCTCGGCCGGGGCGTCCATCAACGATTGATAGAACAAGCCCTGACACGCCAGGTATGGCAATATGATTGATACATATATATATACGTATATATAGTGTATATATATATTGGTATATTGGAGTTGCTTCATTTGGCGATGTGTAAATATACATATTCCATACATGGGTTGTCTGAAAACCGTCTGGAACAGGAATATATTGCTTTCTCTTATTCTGACATGGCTACGAGGTTTTGGATGATGTTCCAAATACGTTCCCTATCTAAGCCTGCTGTGAAGCCAATCTGCTGCTGTGTCGCTGATGACAGCTCACCTTAATTAATAAACCCTCCCCATTTGGATGCACTCCCCTCTTTATAATCTTTATATGGGGGTTATTAATCTCAAGAGTTGATATACATTATGTGAGGTGTAAGTCGCCAACAAACCAGTGTTCACCCCGTCAACGCTCATTGGTTTCAAGGCAGTGAATCATCAATCTCCCTGATTTATGGCGTACATTAGGGCTCCCAACCACCTGAGAAGATGGAAAAGGTGCTTCGGGGATTGTGAGAACCTCAACGAACCAATTCTTCGGTCTTTTCTGAACTAATTAGGGCACTGCTCTTCCATTCCCTCTAAAATGGCTCCCCCAATTCCCTCTGTTCCGCTGTTCGCTCTGGCGAACCCGGCCTAAGACGCACACCTCGGGGAGGGAGGTGTACCCCCACAGGCAGAAGATGGCCCAGTTCACCAGGAATTCGCTCCCTGGCTTCAAAAATGAAAGCAAATACAGTATCCAAGTGCATCCAAGAGCTGTTTTGCAGATTTGAGACCTATAATATACATATGTGTTGACATGTCAACTAGATGCAGGAAGACTGAACTAAGAGCTTGGTCCTGAACTTGGCAGCTGTCCTGTTGTTACCACGTCGCTCTGATTTCGGATAAAACAAACAATCTCTTTGGATCCTGCAGGTTGGTGTTGCAGAAGTCTAGTGTCAACCTGTGTGACTTGAAAAAAACAGTGAAACCTTTTGAAGAAGCTCATTTGATCAATTTTGGATCAACCTGATTCGGTGAAAACGGGTGAAACCCGAACACCAAGCACTCAGTCCTGAAGTTCAAAAGAAAAATATCTAAGACTTGCATTTGCAGACTTGGCACACTGTTTCGACTCCCGTTCCCTGTTTGGTTTGTCCTCCCCCTCTTGCAGGCTAATGTGAAGAAGCCCCTGGCTGACTGGAAGAAGCTGATCTTCCCCTTCAGCAGGAGCGCGTTGATGGTCACAATGCCTGCACCCAGCTACAGCTACATGTTTTGTGCAGGCAACTTCTCCGACCGCCGAAAAAAACAAAAGAGATGTGCCAGGAGTCACAAGACGGGGTGCCGAACTTGGAGGATAGGGGTCCCCAGAACATCTACTCACTGGATGGGACTAAAAACCACCCCGTCTTGTGACTCCTGGTGGAAGTCATTTCTGACTGAAACATCTCTTCCCTCACCACCCTGCCTGCAGGGCTTTTACATGTCGATGCTCCAAACCCTTGCGACGCCCAATTTTTCGTGGCCGATGGTCGAAGCGAACCACACATCCATCCAGCACCATGGTCCTCCAAACGGCCCTGTGTGCCGGCTCCGGACATTTTTTTTCGGTGAAAGGCCCACCACCGGATGGACTGACAACGTGAACTTGGGAAAAGTAGTAAGAGCTGCCAACACCTCGAGGAGCAGTTTGTTTGACATGTAACTGCATTATGTCTGGTGCATCATTCCAGCAACAACAGCCACTTCTCACGCTGAGCATCCGAAGGGTTCCCAGTGTGCTGGGTTCGGGTTCGCTGTCCTAGGGGAAGCTGGCTCAACATTTGAGGTCACTTGAGCTGGAAAAAAAATGTTCTTTACTTAGACTTAATACATACAGATTGGATTCTTTTTGTTCAGCTCATTTGCTCATTGGATCTTTCTGTTCCACAACCTGAACTTCAGAACAGTATGACATCGTATGACATCGTATGACAGCATCCACGCGTCCAAGCCCCAACCCCCCCAAAAATGCCGATCCTCATGGTTTTCTCCCACGTCGACCAGCCAAAGACCGATGGTCTTCTCCCACGTCTGCTTCTGGCCCCAACCACCACGGCCTGATCCGACCCAAACAATGATGAAGACCAGCCCAAAAGCCAAGCTAGCCTGTGGTCATTGGGCACGGTCTGGCTGAAGAGTGATCCACAAACATGGATCTAGTGCAGTGTGGAGGGGGGGGGAAGCTCCACATCACACCCCTACTAGTCCAGTTTGACCCAGTAAAACCTGGTCCTTGACCTCCTGAGTAGTGTTTTTGTATGACCAACTCCAGTAAGAAAGAGGTACAACTGACCTGTATATAGGGGACTGCTCCATATAAATGGTTCCATTCCAAAGGAAATGATCCTTTCTGGTCTGGTCCTCGTTCTTCGCTCGTCCCACCTGCTCTGCGTGCATCGAGAGCATGATTCCTCGGCGCATCGAGAGCAGGTCGTTCAACCGCGACCGTTGTTTTTTCAGCGAAAATGAACAGAATAGACTAGACTCTTTGTTCATCGATCAGTGTGTCGTGGACAGGACGTGTCACCCCAGGGATCCGACTCGTCTGCGTGTGAACAGAATAGACTAGACTCTAGACTAGACTAGACTAGACTCTAGACACTCTAGACATGGTCCAGCTATCGGGGTGAGCGGTGAGTGACTGGCTCCAGGTGCGGTGCCATGACCCACAGCCAATCCATCCAACTTCCCAAGGGTGGATTCTCTGACGCCTGAGTATGGAGTTTTGCCTGCACGGTTCGTACTCTAACGGCTCACATGAAACCGAACACGAGCAAAGACACACTTGCCATACAGTGCTGTACTGGCTGAACTAGGAGGTTGTGGATAGCTTCTCTTCCAGCAAATCCTGAACACAACCTCCATTGATTGATTTGGTCAAGCGAACAGTCGCCTCTATGGCCCTACGAACAATCACATCTTATTGTCACAAGGGCATGAATCCGATGCACAGTGACTGGACATCAACCCATACTTTCCAACTGGAAATCGGCAGTGCTCTCAAAGGCGCCCCTTGCTCAAGGGCCATGGTTGAAGCTGCATCGACTTCGACGATGCTTTGAGAGCTACATTGGATAATATAGTAATAAATTTATTTTAAGGTCCATCGGTATTAATTGTATATACCCAAACGCTCCATGTCTGTCATATATATGCCTACATTGACCCCTCTGGCACCACCCTAATGTAGGTGAATATGCCAGTCCCATTAGTCGTGTCTGGGATATAGATTGGTAGATAGCGTATAGATTATAGATACAGTAATTGTCTTTTCCAGCCTCAGTCGTGTGTGGGATCTATGGCCCCCCCAAAAAGGCAGTCAAAGCGAAGAAAAGGCCAACCAGGTGGCCTGTTGTATCCCCAAAGCACCAGGCTTGACCAACTGGATCAAACCCACATACCAACAACCGCCTGGGATCTGAAGGGATAGGTGGACCGGACCCTGTTTCCAGAAGGGCGATCGATCGCGAAACCGGAGATACCCCACCCGGCGATCGACTGCAAACAGCTCCGAGAATCATCCAACGGTGCAACAGTTCTGCCTGTCCTCTATCCATGAAACCAGCCATGAAATCATGCAAACATTGTGTATAGATGAAAGGTCCGGTATCTATAATATCAGGCTTTGCTCAAGCAAGGTCTTTGGCACTTGAACCAGATCGAACAATTAAAGGGGGCTGTACATCCAAACGGTCTCTGCAAAACAGCATGCGAACAGTTCTGAAATTCTGCACGGCATCCTCGATCTGGAGCAGTTCTCACAGTTCTTGCCCACCCAGTTCTGAGCAAATCCATCAGAGGGTGTCAGGTCCACCCAGTCAGAGCTGTCTTTGACATCAAATCTCGAATCCTCCAGACCGGTCCCAGACTCACCGTCAGACGAGACCCCGCGGAGACCCCGCGCGTCCCGGTGTTTGACACGGTGGTCCAGGCGGTTCCGCACTGGGCCGCGGCACCGAGGGCCAAACAGAGCACCAATGGGCCCCAGAGATCCCACCTAAGATCAGAGCTGCGAGGTGGCGAGCGCCGTGGAGCACTGGACATGACCGTGATGACACGTTGTCTGACATGGGAGGTCGACCGGGAGGTAGGTCGTATTTCGGACAATGGGTGTACAATGCCGCAAGTTATATAGGATACTATGTTTGATAGGGTGTTATTATACTAGAAACAATAGTCATGTCCCATTTTCCAAGACACTTGAAGTCGGGTCCAGGTCTATCTGTGCAGGGGTGTTGACACTCGGAACCCCTTTCACCCCGCTAGTTCAACCTCCTTAGTCCATTAGTTGACCATTCCATTCATTTTGCTGGAAGAACAGAGGTCTCCCGGTTGAAAGACCCGCAGCCATATACCTACATTGACCCTCTAAGAGACCCCAATATAGGCATTGGCATCCATTCTATACAGTGTCTGGGTCTGACAAGGATATTAGTTGGAAATGGAGTCTGTGACTTGAGATGAGATTATCAAATGATCATCCACTAGTAGTTCAGTACTTTAACTTTATGTCTGGGGTCTGTCGCGATTTCTTTCCTTCCTGCACCCCACGGATAGCAAGACATGATGACATGGATAGCTACGCACCTGATCAGTCAGCAGCTGATCAGCAGCTGGTTGAGCTGGTCATCATGGACCCCAAGTGTGGTCCATTTCGTGGATCCTTCTACTCCAAAACAACTGTGGAATAAAGGCGGCCAAAACAACCTTTTAACCGTCAGCTAAGGCTATTTTGCAAAAACAACAAACAAACAAAAAGGGCGTGGCCATGCAAAAGTAAGGCAAAAACGAGCCAAACAAAACACCGATTCAATTTGATGTTGCATTGTGTGTTTTCCTGCAATCAACTTTAAATAACTTTAACCAGTCAGCAATGTACGCTCCTTGTGTAAAAAAAGAAAAAACAACACAAAAGACAAAAGTGATTAAGAGTGAACAGCAAGCCAAAGATAGAAGGCTAGAACACAAGAACAAAGAGCCAAAAGTCAAAACAACAACAAAGAACAACATCGCCTGTTCCTTGTGGTATCGTTTTTGTTGTTTCTTTCGTTTTACCGTTCGGTCTTTTTATGTTCTTTCTGCTTTGTGTAAGTCTTGTGTAAGTCTTTTGGCTCCTATGTCTGCGGTGGGGAACACCATTTTATATAACCTTGCTGGTGTGGGTCCTTACCTTTTGTTCATGGGATTTTGCTCAGCGTCCGACCAGACGTGAAAAAACACCAAGACGTGAAAAAGCCACCAAGGCACTCTCGAAGTCCTTGTCCTTTGTCCTCGCGCGCTCTTGGAAGCATCACATATTTGAGCTTCATACCAATAGACCTGGCAGAACTGGTGAAAGACACAGTCTGCAATTGTTCAAGAAAGTGTGTCTTTCCAAATTCCTGAGTGAGTTCTATACACCAGGGTCCTGGGCAACAGTCAAGGTGACGTGAGAATGATTGGCCAGTGTGTGAGAGAGAGACGAGCCAACGCGATCCACAATAACAATAACAATATGTCTGAAAATCGTTTGACAATTCTGCATGTGATCTGTAACCAGCACGTCTAAACATGTACAGTACAAACTATTACACACAAACTATACCATTTGACATCTCTAACTCAACCAGCACCTCCCCCCCTGCCAGGTCACCAATCATTCGAGTTAAGGCCAAGACCCTCCGGTCGGAAGGAGGTGTTGGAGGGTGGAGGCGAAGTGAACGATATACCCAAGACCTCCAGTTTCACCCATCGACATCCTTGAGAAATCCGCTAGAACTCCGTTTTTGCCACGTTCTCGTCACCTAGTCTGTCTTCGGATGTCTTCGCCACTAGGGAAGATTCACAAGGAAGGTGGCATGGATCTGCGAAGACGGATGCTTCCGAACCACGTCTCTTCCAGTGCGACGTCGAACAAAAATTCGCCCATGCCCACGACTCACAATCCCAACACGACTCACCCGAGTGAAGCACCCCAACGTATGTCCAGCAGGTCGTGTCGCGACTTCCCTTCCTTCCTCGACCGCTTGAGCGGTGCCAGGTCCCTCTACAACAGGGGGTAGTGACAAGACAAGGAAACACATAAATGCAGGACATGGGCCGCACGAAAAACGGGTGGTGTTTTTGTGACAGGATTCCCCCAAGCTGGATTTGAATTGACTTCAAGCTATCCCCTAAAAACGTGTTGAACCTTTTTGAGACCCCCAAAGGCCATCGCTACTAGGTTGGAGGCCCATCGCTCTTATCGCTCTTAGGTTGGAGGCCCGTCCCTTCCGTCCCAAACGAGAGCCGCGGCCCCAAATGCGCCGCGCCCCCCCCCCCCCCCCCCCTCACCTCAGATCTCTCATAATGGTTTCGGTGACTGGTTCGTCCAGTGTACATCTGCCCTTGCAGAGGAGGGCGGAGAATGGGCGCCCAGTTTTTCTGGGCGAGTGAGTGGCCGGTTTTTTGGTTTGGGGATAATGGAGTCCAAGAAACATGCAAAGACCATCAAAAGTGGCTGAACCATAGGAGTAAACCTTCTGGTTGCTGAACCAGAGTCATCACCAAGTAGATTGAGTTGCTGGTTTGAGTGACAGTCTGGCGAGTGTCGTTGTTCTTGTTCAGAAACAGGTTAGTTAGTGATGTTTCTTTTCTAGGAAGAGATGGATGGAGTCGCAAACGACTCCACGAACGAAAAAAACCTAGTCGAACTTTCTTGAAGGGGTTCGGCTATAACTCAACAAACCATGGAGAATGTAGACATATATATGAGAGAGAGAGAGAGACCGTACACTCCGCCTCACTCACATGGAAGTGGAAAATATATATTCGTGAAGGACAGTAGTCTTCTCTTCCGTGAGGCCATGCCAATAGTCGAAGAGTCTTAGATCCAAGGTGGCATTCCAGCATATCCCAGCATCAATGATGAAGGAAACACATCGATCGACTAACAGGTTCTGAGGTCTGAGCCTATCTCAAATCTCAAACGACTGAAATGGATGTCTTCTCAGGTCTAAGGTGGGACACAGGCTCGGAGATGCTCGGAGACAGGATCGGGGCCGTCCAAGTCACTCTGGAGCCTTGAGGCGGTTGAGGTGTGTGTCTTCTACTGGAACTGGAAGTACCACCTCAATGGGCTTCACACCTTTTCGTGGTCTCTCCCGGAGTGCTTGGACATGCTTGCACGCATTCAAACAGGCAGTGTTATTGACTCAAACCCACCTGACATCTCTCAATATCTCCCAAAACCTTGTCACACGTGTCCTTTTGATTCATGCTTATTTAAAAAACGGCGATGGTTGGTTCCTGCGGGTGGAAACCAAATACTCGCCCCACTGTAAACAGACTGCCAACGGCGCCTGCTGGCTCTCAATGCTGCCACTCGGGGTCACCATACCATCACCTTAGCCGTGGAGTGATGTAGGTCCGGATCCAATCGATTCGAAGAAGAGGTCTAGGTAGGTCCTTGGGATGCACACGTAAGTCCGTTACAGTATACCTACCAGGTCCTTGGATGCACACGTACGTCCGTTACAGTATACCTACCAGGACACCCGGACCAGGGGCTTCTATTGATAGCCCCTTAGATGTTAAGGGGTGTCCATTAACCACCCCTTGCGGGTCAAGGTACACTCCCGGGAATAGTCAGAGGGTCCGATGGTCCTCCCCAGGGCCTATGCCATCCACTTCGAGTATTCCAGGGAGTGTGACAATAGAGGCTGAGTGTTCATCCAACTTGATGTGTGTTCTTCAAGTGACTGGAGGTTGCAACATGTTCCAACTACAGAAGGTAAACTGGTTCTCCCTGGCACGTCCAGAAATCGCCAGTCGGGGGCTGAGGGGGAGGACAAACACACGTCATCCCCGACTGCATCCCCGCGCTTCTCTGCGCATAGAACACAACAAACCCGCCCAAACACGAGACAGAGATGCATCCAGGCTTGAATCTCTCTGAGCTCCAAGTGCATTTTGCCAACTGTGGACAACTTCTTCCACTTCAACATGGAACTTCTCTGTTAGACACTCAAAACTCGACATTCCAATCTGTTTTGAGTGGGCGCTCCAACTCCATGGCTCCACCCTGGCTCCTGGCTCCTCTGGCCCCGTAGCTCCCGGTCGGTCGGTCTGGTTGGCGGCATTCCCGCCTCCATGGAATTGAGGTGACTGGTAGGTCGGCTCGTAGGCCATGGCCTTGGAATGAGCCAGGTCGAGGGTGTCCCAGACGGTCATTGGGAGCCGGACTTAGACTGCGGAGCCATGTCTAAGACAAGACTGCCTAGGACCCGAGATACTGCCGTAGTCCCAGGACTTGTGAGGCCCACTGCGACTGTCTGGCAGTGGGAGCTGTTGCAGCTGTAGATATCTGTAGATTGTATGTAGACCGCCACCTGGAATTCGCTCAGTCCAATCCTGTGTCCGTCCTGTGATCATTGACTCCCACAGCCAGATGTTTGTTCACATGAACAATAAGTAAATTCTAGGACTTGGGTCTACAATAGTGTAAGTGTCCGCATGAGCACGACCCACATGGACACATGCCTATCTTTTGCTCGTGCAGTTTCTGGGACCCCCACTATAAGGACCCCAACGCGCCGGCAGCGAGCCGCGGGGTCCGGCGCGGAGGGCAGCGCTTTCTTTGTTTTGGAGATTGAGCGAGCCAAAACATCCGCAGATGCCCAACACTGGTGAACAGGTCGTTTTCCAAAACATGCTTTCTACCATGCCCAATGCAAAAGAAAAGAAGGAGTGGCGTGATCCTTCATTTTGTGAGCGCGCTGTTTTCTCATGCGGAACCACGTGGGGATGAGTCAAAACCGGTCAAGAACGCCCTCTTGACTGACACCACCCTAGGGCTCCTGGCCCATATCCTCAGAAGATGGTTAGACCCCCCTGGCACCCATCCCAACCATCTTCTCAGGAGGTAGGCCAGGAGCCCTAGGGCCAAGTGGATAACGGTTGGGTTGCCACAAGGCGGATGGGATGGTCCCGGGCACTAGGTGCGGCATCGCAACTCGAACGGAGCGATCGGAATGCGGGCGAAAGCGGGCCTTGCTAGGAACGATCGGACCGCTACGAACGGAGCATTTCGGGCATCGCGAGTGGTGGAACAAGGACCCTACTAGTCCCCCAAAAAAAACAGTCCTTCAAGTTGGAGGGCGTGATGAAACCCGACCTCCAAGCCCAGAACAAGAAGCGAAGAACCCAAACACACGACCTGGGACAGGGACATATGGCATATTTACCATATATATATATACCTCAGGGTGATGAAAAACCCAGGGGTCAATGGGTGCATAGCAGTCCCATGAGTCGTGTTTGGAGTCCGAGAAACCGGTCGACCGACGAAGCATGAACACTACAACGTTGCGGACCACGTCATCCACGTTAAACCCGGGGCCAGACGATTCCAATGAACCTTGAAAACCACTGGCTGGTAGAGGAAAACCATCTTCCGGGCCAAACAGTTAGGGGACCATGGGGACTGGGGGTGCCTAGAGGGTCCAGTCATGCCTTCTGAGCAGGCGCCCTTGTGGAGGTGTAACTGGTGCAATGAATCCCTTCAAACGTTCCGTGGCCTGCAGAAGTCCACGGTTTGCTTCAGTCACCACAGACACAAACACTGCAAAAAAAGATACGTACCTAATATCCATCAAAACCATATCCGAATATATCCAAATATCAATATCCAGCAAACATGTCGACTGCGCTCACATTTCACACCGCCCGCCGACCGCCGAAGGGGGTCCGCAATTTCCGCGCCCACATGCAGCAGAGGCTCCCTCCATGGCTTGAGCTCCGGAGTGAGACTGAAAGAATCCAAGATTCTAAGGGTCGCCAGTGACACTCCGACTTGGTGGTTCAATAAGGGGGTGTACATTAGTGTACATATTTTGTAGAGTCCTCATGAATCATGACACTGTTTACTTCACGTTAATTGAAGTGGACAAAGGATGAAGACGTGGTCCCGGATGACCATTCCTCGAACCAAACAGGTGGTGGTTCACGGTTCACTTCCATGGAGCGTGAGTCAAACGGAGAACCCCATGTTGCACCCAGGTGTTTCGCAGCTGCACAGTAGAAGAAACCCTTACAGATCAGCACGGCGGATGGCATGGCCTTTTTGTGGTGAATCTTCGAGAATTCAGACCTAGATTCATTCCAAGTCGATCCACAAGCACCCATTCGCTATGGGCTTGGATTCGCTTTGATTCCGGGCCAAGGGGAACCAAGGAATAAGTAGGAAAAGCCATGCCTGATGCACGAGATTTCCATCCATTATAAATCCTGACCAACCTTTAATCGTTGACTGTTGATTGATCAAACCGGAGATGTCTTACCATCCAGGCCGGAGAGCGATAGCGATAGTTTATTCATCTAGTATCCAAGAGAAGAATATATCAAAGAGTCACATATCTCTTGACATGCTTTCTGAATGTGGCTCAATTGACGTGACCTCTAGTGGTGGTCACTTTGAAGAAGCTGCTATTCATTGACGTGACTATTTCATGTTGCTTGGCCACTTCAGGTGACTCGGTCTTCTGCAAAAAGAAAAAAACGCCGGAGTCAGCTTGCCTTCTCAAGAGCCTGCTGCACATGCACGCGGAGTCCAACGGGTGTTGCTCGTGCAGAAATCATTAAGGATCACGATGTTCGCACAGGCAGCTTGCAGCTTGGAGCTTGCTGAGGTGAAGAAAGAAATTGCCAGCATGAGCGCAGCATGAGCGCAGCATGACCAAATTTGGGCCAGAATGGGATATGGTTTTTCTCGGCGGCTCGGGATCCTTTTTCTACTTGTTCAATCTGGTCCGTAATGGTCTAAATATGTCGACAAGTGGGTGTTCGACCACAGACCATAATGCCTGGGCATGGGATGGATGGCCTTGGACCAAGCCACCAAACACCAGAACACCAAGCCCCCCCATGTCAATGTCACCGCCCGGTCGACCACGATCTGAAGTTGCCTTTTCAGCACTCTATTCAGCTTTCCCGACCAGCAACACGTGAATCAATGCAACCTGGTGGACTGCCAACCCCATTTAGTTCACAAACAGTAAGATCCCCATTCCCAAAGTTGTTAATTCAACTTCCATACTAAATTTGCTGTTGCCACGTTGAGAGACTTCACAGAGGCATCAAAGGCTTTAATCACTTCATCACTAAAATAGAGCTCATGACTGGCCGACAAAGCTCGGTTCTGCCGCTGTGCAAACTCGTGCCACACTCGGCCACTGGGTGAAAAGCTCGACCAACGGTCCGGTCGGGGTGCTGCATGAATTTCCGACGCACGGAAATCGTATTCCCTGACAGCAACCAACAAGAACAAGGATTAACGAAGAATAGAACCATAGACGAATGCAAGCATATATGGCAAATGTATGCACATGTTATCTTGGCTTTTGAGTCGGGCTGTTGTTGTTGTTGTTGTTGTTGGTGGTGGTGGTGGTGGTGTCTGTTGCTGTTGAATCAAATTCGTCCCCAAATCCTGGTAAAAAAATTGTTCCATCTAAGTTGCTCGTGTCCGTTGAAAAAGTCTACAAAGAACAACGACAACGACATGTTCGCATGTTCGCTTGTTAACTTGTTAACATATACCGGTAGATGTCCCTGTAGCACTGAGCAAGAACCACCAGCTTCACCAGGGAGAGTTAACTTGCTTCCACTCAGATTGAGCAGGCAGCAGGGACAAATTCAGGAAAAGAAAATACAACATCTTAAAGTGGGGAACCAATCCGCACGTCTTCCCAGAAACGTCAAATCACATGTATGTCCGGCCCTCTGAGATGCGCGGCCAGGGAATCCGATGATATAACACAACTTGCAGGTCTGACACATTCAAATCCACCGCGCGATCTACCGCGCGTATCTTTGGGGCGCTTTCGCGAAGGACGAGCCACTGGGTTGTTGGTGCTGATGAAACTAAGTGGAGAGTGACAGCACATGGCTGTAGCTCAATGTAGAATACAGTTGCCAAAGCCAATCCCATCTTGAGCACCTGTAAATAGTCAACTCAAAATCCGCATGGCGATGGACTTTTGATTGGAGCCTTAACAAAAAAAACTCCAGTTTTTGAGTGTGAAGCGATGTCAAGCCAATGATCCTGAATCAATCGAGTCCGCCGCTGCGTGTCCGTGTGTGTCCCCATGTTTGCAACAGCTCTACTAGAAGATAACTGTTGATTCACAATTTTGCAACAGCTCTAGAAGATAACTGAATCACTGAAATCAAACAAAGTAAAGCCAACATATGAAGATGTAAACATTGTCAAATCATTCTGGTAAGCGGGGGGTAGTGACCAACCGTCCGCACTGCCTCGAGACCTCATGTCGTAGAGATCCCATCAGACTTCTTCGCATGTCGTAGATCCCATGTCCCAAAAACACCGTGGCTTGGAAAGAAATACACATAACAGGATCTGGTAAAATGGTGTCCCAACAGCGTGCAAGAGAAATCTTTGTGAACCAAACTGAGATCCGATCTTCTTTGCTTTGGTGTCCTTTTTCAGGTGGAAGGGCACAACTGCCGACTTTCGCTGCAAAAATATGAAGGTGCCTGTTGGCGAGCTCGTCCTTCGGGTGCTGGAAGTGACTGGCGATCTTCAACAATACATGGCATTCATGGCCCTCGTTTTGTTGATCCTATATATGTGGACACATACTTCAACTCTTCGTTTGAATCTGCTGAATCAATCAACCACCTACACAGCACGGTACTTGGCAAATCAATGAACAGAAACGATAAAACTCAATGGTTCATGTGACCCAGGCAAAACCAGAAATGGACGAGTGACATTGTTGGTCACACGATGGGTACGTTAACCTATACCAAGGTATCGTACGTATGATTTTTGTTGGTGGGTAAACGCTTCAAGTCCCTCAGAGTTTGCATATGTCTTCGTCATGACGAAGCCTTTCGAGATCGATGGCCACTGTTCAGCCACATCCAGCAAGCATCAAAACAACTACAAATGATGGAACTTGAGAAGCGGCCCTTCAGAATTGCAAGAATATATAATAGTTATATACATATGTATTGGCAAGGCTTGGGGACTCTTCATTGCGGCTTCCATGTTGGGTGCTTCACCAAAGAGGTGTCGCATGGTTTGCCCCGATGTCGGGCGCGGAAACGAAGCGCGAGGAGCTGTCGGCCCATTGGGATTGGAACTGGAGGAGGAGGTCGGCCCGGTGGGGGCACCCGGAGTTCGGGTAACTTGCCCTGGTAGGTGATCCTCCTGGGACGGTGATCCTCCTATTCTGTTCAGCTTCGATCCACCAAGGTCCTTTGATCACTGCCGAATCGATGGAATCTACACCTTCCGCCGATCCACCACGGGACCAACCCCTATTCAGCTCGGGCGAGACGTGGAGTACCCCGGATGCGAGATGTGAAGCGTGGAAGCCAAGGGTGAGGTTGATGAAGGAGATCAGTATCCCACTGGACCCAGGCAGACCACTAGACATCTTAAGATTCTTAAGGTTTTTTGGACCTAAGACATCTTAAGACTTAAGTAGAAATCCTGGTTCCTTACTACAAGTGGATCAACAAGTGGCTGCCTGAAATCCGGGATCGGGTCAGTCCCAACTCTAGAGCCCATCTCAAATGCATGTAAATACCTCATCTGTTTGGAACCGCTTTTTCA